GAGAGAAACCATATCAGTGTCTGGAGTGTGGAAAGAACTTCCGTCAGAAAGGTGGCCTTTTGCAACATAAAAGAATTCACACAGGGGAGAAACCATATAAGTGCAAGGAATGTGGAAAGAGTTTCAATTGCAGCAGTTACTTTATTTGCCATAAAAGGATTCACACAGGAGAGAAACCATATCAGTGTCTGGAGTGTGGAAAGAACTTCCGTCAGAAAGGTGGTCTTTTCCGACATAAAAGAATTCAAACAGGGGAGAAACCTTATAGGTGCAAGGAATGTGGAAAGAGTTTCAATTGCAGCAGTTACTTTATTTGCCATAAAAGGATTCATACAGGAGAGAAACCATATCAGTGTCTGGAGTGTGGAAAGAACTTCCGTCAGAAAGGTGGTCTTTTCCGACATAAAAGAATTCAAACAGGGGAGAAACCTTATAGGTGCAAGGAATGTGGAAAGAGTTTCAATTGCAGCAGTTACTTTATTTGCCATAAAAGGATTCATACAGGAGAGAAACCATATAAATGCCTGGAGTGTGGAATGAGTTTTAATAAAAGCAGTTGTCTTACATCTCATAAAAGAAGGCACACAGGAGAGAAGCCATATAAATGCAGAGAGCGTGGAAAGAGATTTTCGTGTAACTTTGACCTCAGATATCATCAACGAACCTTTACTGGGGAGAAATCATATAAATGCTTGAAGTGTGAAAAAAGGTTCAGTAGATGTTCAAACCTTAGAATCCATGTAAGAATTCACACGGGGGAGAAACCATATAGGTGCCCAGAGTGTCGAAAGAGCTTCTGCAAGTACGGTGACTTTATTCGCCATAAAAGGATCCACACAGGAGAAAAACCATACAAATGCCTGGAATGTGGAAAGAGCTTCACTCAGAACGGAAACCTTATTACACATAAAAGGATTCACACAGGAGAGAAACCATATAAATGCCTGGAGTGTGGAATGAGTTTTAATAAAAGCAGTTGTCTTACATCTCATAAAAGAAGGCACACAGGAGAGAAGCCATATAAATGCAGAGAGTGTGGGAAGAGATTTTCGTATAGCTTTGACCTCAGATATCATCAACGAACCTTTACTGGGAAGAAATCATATAAATGCTTGAAGTGTGAAAAAAGGTTCAGTAGATGTTCAAACCTTAGAATCCATGTAAGAATTCACACGGGGGAGAAACCATATAGGTGTCCGGAGTGTGGAAAGAGCTTCCGCGCGTACGGTGACTTTATTCGCCATAAAAGGATCCACACAGGAGAAAAACCATACAAATGCCTGGAATGTGGAAAGAGCTTCCGCGCGTACGGTGACT